CTAATGCAATCATTTTCATTTGGCATAGGTTTTTTCATTTCTGGGGTGTTTGGCTGGCTCAGTCAGTAAAGTCTGTGAATTTCGATCTTGGGGTTGTAAGCTCAAGCTCCATGCTGGGTGTAGAACTTACTTTAAAAAAAAAAAAAAAAAAAAGATTTTTGAATTTCTTCTTGAGCAATTTTGGTAGCTTGTGTCTTTCTAGGAATTGGCTCATTTCATCTAAGATATCTAATTTCTTGACACAGAGTCATTCAGAATATTTCCTTTAAAAATTTTTTCTATAAGGTCAATCAATAGAGACGCTTTCATTTTCATTTCTGAGTTTAGTAATTTCAGTCTTTCTTCATTCTTGGTCAGTCTAGGTAAGGTTTATCAATTTTTTTTTTTTTTATCTTTTCAAGGGACCAACTTTGGGTATTTTCTTTTTCTTTATAGTTTTTCATTATTTTTACTCTCATCCTTAATTTTTTCTTTATTCTGTTTGCTTTACACTTCATTTGCTCTTTTTCTCTAGTGTGTCGAGGTGATGATATGTCTTTTTTTTTTTTTTTTAACAGAAAGAGAGGGCACAAGTAAGTGAAGGGCAGAGAGAGAGGGAGGAAGAAAGAAAGATAAAAGCAAAGCTCACCCAAAATGGGGCTAGTGTTCATTCAATGCAGGGCTCGAGCTCATGAACCAAACATGAGATCATGACCTGAGCCGGTTAGATGCTTAGCCAACTGAGCCACCCAAGTGTCATGTCTTCTCTTTTTATACAGATGTTTAGTGATAAATTTCCCTGTAAGCATTACTTTAGCTACATCCTATGTTTTTATCTCAAAGTATTTTCTTATTTCCTTTGTGATTTCTTCTTTATTGTTTAGCAGTGTGTTGTTTATTTCCACATATTTGTGAATTTTTCATATTTATTTGCTATTCATTTCTTTTTTTTTTAATGTTTTATTTATTTCTGAGAGAGAGAGTGAGCAAGGGAGGGTCAGAGAGAGAGGGAGACACAGAATCTGAAACAGACTCCAGGCTCTGAGCTAGCTGTCAGCACAGAGTCCGACACGGGATTCGAACCCACAAACCATGAGATCATGACCTGAGCCAAAGTCGGATGCTTAACCGACTGAACCACCCAGGCGCCCCATGTTTGCTATTGATTTTTAACTTCATCGTATTGTTGAGTCATCTGTTTCTCCTTTTAATTGTGTCAGTTTTTGCTTCATGTATTTTGAGGGCTCTGTTTTCTGGTGCATATATCTTCATAATTTTTATCTCCTCAATTGACCCCTTTTATCATTATAAAATGTCTTTGTCTCCAATAATATTTTTGTCTTACTGTTTATTTTGTCTAACATTAGTATATCTACTGCAGCTGTCTTATGGGTGCTGTTTGCCTATCTTTTTGTATCCTTTTACTTTCAAATTATTTGTGACTTTGAATCTATAAGTGTGTCTCTTACACAGAACATATAGATGGATCATGTTGTTGTTTTTTTTTGTTTTAAATTCAAGTTAGTCAACATATAGTGTAGTCTTCATTTTAGGAGTAGAGTTTAATGATTCATCCCATACATATAATACCCCGGGCCCATCCCAACAAGCACCCTCCTTAATGCCCATCACCCATTTAGTCCATCCCCCACCCCAAAACCCTGCCAGCAACCCTCAGTTTTTGTTCTCTGTATTTGAAAGTCTCTTATGGTTTGCCTCCCTCTCTGTTTTTATCTTATTTTTTCTTCCCTTCCCCTGTGTTTATCTGTTTTGTTTCTGTTTGTTTGTTTTTTTATTCAGTCTGACAAGATCGGCCATTTGAATGGATTGTTTAGTAGATTCACATTTTTTTTTAAGTAGGCTTCATGTCCAACATGGGGCTTGAACTCAGGACCCTGAGATCGAGTCGCATGCTCTTCTGACTGAGCCAGCCAGTTGCCCCAGATTCACATTTAATGTTATTGATAGGACTGGATGTACAGTTGACACTTGAACAACATGGAGGTAAGTTGCGCTGACCCCATGTGCAGTCAAAAATTCATGTATAACTTTTGACTCCCCCAAAACTTAACTCATAGTCTACTGTTGATGGGAAGCCTTACTGATAACATAAATGGATCATTAACGTATATTTTTCATGTTATATATATATCATATAATGTATTTTTTACAATCTGTGTTGTTTTTACCAAATCTGTGTTGTTCAAGGATCAACTATATATCTATTTTACTTTCTTAGTTGTTGCTCTAGGACTTAAATATATGTCTGAATTTATCAGACTCTACTTCAGATTATACTATTTTAAGTCCCGGGAGATACAGAAATATCTGTATAGTTATATTCTCTCTTGCCCATTTTAATTTCAGCATGGTTATACACATTACATCTATATACATTACACATACAACTTTGTTAAAATTATTACTTTCTACAATTTTAGGTGTCTTAAGCCTGAGAGAAGAAAGGAGAGGAAATATCTGTAAGGAGTTGTTATATTAGCCTTCTTATTTACCATTTCCAGTTCTTGTCATTAGTAGATTTTTCTGGGGTCTTAGTCTGTTCAGGCTGCTATAACAAAGTACCATAGACTCAGGGCTTATAAACAGAAATTTATTTCTCACGGTTCTAGAGGCTGGTTCATAATGTCCATCTTCTCACAGTGTGGAAGAGGCTAAGGAGCCCTCTGGGTTCTACTTTATAAGGGCATTAATCCCAATCATGAAAGTTCTACCCTCGTGGCTTACTCAATCCCTCACATTGGCATTTAGGTTTCAACATATGAATTTGGGGGAGACATAAACATCCCATTTATAGCACTTGAATCAGTATTTCTCTATTTGCTGTATTCCCTCAGACAATTTCCAGAGACTATTCTTTCTCTTTTTTTCTTTAATTTTTTTAATGTTTATTTATTATTGAGATATGGAGACAGAGAGCATGAGCATGGGAGGGGCAGAGAGAGGGAGACACAGAATCCAAAGCAGGCTCCAGGTTCTGAGCTGTCAGCACAGAGCCCAAGGGGAGCCTCGAGCTCACAAACCTGAGATCACGACCTGAGCGGAAGTGAGACACTTAGCCAACTGAACCACCCTAGAGACTTCTCTTTTTAAAGAAAATTTTCACCAGCTAAGATTGGTCCATCTGGAAGAAGAGTTCCTTATATTATCGTTTAAGAATTCCCCAGTTATGCATTTTTTTTTCCTTTTAAGTAAGCTCTACATCCAGTGTGGGACTTGAATTCACCACCCTTGAGATCACTGGTTGCTGGATTTACTGACTGAGTCAACCAGGCACTTCTGGTCTGTGCATATTTTAAACATGGATACCTAGTGGTAAATTGCTCTCTAGAAAAGTTACACCACCGGGGCACCTGGGTGGCTTAGTTGGTTCAGCTCGGGTCATGATCTCACAGTTTATGGGTTTGAACCCAACATCGGGCTCTGCGCTGACAGCTCAGATCTGGAGCCTGCTTTGGATTCTGTCTCCCTCTCTCTGTGCCATACCCCCTCCGCTCACACTCTGTCTCTCTCTCTCAAAAATAATAAACATTTTTTAAAAAGGTGGGGGGCACCTGGGTGGCTCAGTTGATTAAGCATCTGACTTTGGCTCAGGTCATGATGTCATAGCATGAGTTCTAGCCCAGCATTGGGCTCTATATTGACAGCTCGGAGCCAGGAGCCTGCTTCGGATTCTGTCATATTCCTCTCTCTCTCTGACCCTCCCCTGCTTCCTATCTTTCTCTCTCTCTTTCTCTCTCTCTCGCTCTCAAAAAAAAATATTTTAAAAAATTAAAAATAAAGAAAAGCTATACCACCTTACATTTCAAATAGCAGGTCGTGAGAATGCTTATTCCCCAAACTTTTGCCAACACTAGGTATTATTAATGTTTTTAATCTGTGCTGATCTGATAAGCAAAATGCCCATCTTATTTTTATGTTCAAACTTCAGACAGTCTGAGGTGATTTCCAGAAGAGGCATACCGCTTCTTTCCACTGCTGAATTATTTATAGCTGCCATCCCATCATGATTGTCAGGAAAGTGAAATCTTAAGTAGATGGAAGCTTCCAAAAATGAAGCAAAACGGCCTGCCTTCATGTCTTTGGGAGGAAAACCAAACAGATTGCCTAGGGAAACCTTGATACCAGTGATTGTCTTCTTGCAAAAGATCCATTTTCTTTAAAAAAAAAAAAAAAGTTATATGTTGCTCTACCATATATTTAAAACTTATTGCTAAGTACTAATCATTACTTTTATAACATTAAAAGATTCCTAGGGACCATTTTATCGGCTAAAATACCCCAAATTAAGATATTGGTTCTAGGGGTACCTGGCTAGCACCTGGTTCAGTTGGTAGAGCATGTGACTCTTGATCTTGGGGTTGTGAGTTCAAGCCCCACGTGGGGCATGGAGCCTACTTGATAAGAGATAGTGGCTCTGGTATGTTTTTGTTGACCTGCTCCAAATTAAACTGTCTAAGCTGGTATAAATATCAGAAATCCAAATCCAAAAATAATTAAGAAAATTGAACTAATTGGTGAAAAATAATTTAGTGAAAAAAATCTCTTTAATAACATAAATTCAGGCTTTTGAAGGAATATGGGTGCTATTTTCATATTGAAAGGTAAGAAAATATAAAGTTGCCTTTAGCACTGAAAAACCTTGGTAAATTTTCATAATTCATTATCTATTAAAAAAATTAAGCCTGGGTAAATTAGTGTGCTGGATAGCATTTCTTTTTTTTTTTTTTTTTTTTTTTAATTTTTTTTTTTAATGTTTTATTTATTTCTAGGAGAGAGAGAGACAGCGTGAGCAGGGGAGGGTTAGAGAGAGAGGGAGTCACAGACTGAAACAGGCTCCAGGCTCTGAGCTGACAGTCAGCACAGAGCCCGACGCGGGGCACGAACCCACGAACCGCGAGATCATGACCTAAGTGAAAGTCGGACGCTTAACCGACTAAGCCACCCAGGCGCCCCTAGCATTTCTTATTATACTGTGTTTCTTGTTTGTCTCCCCAATGTAGATCTTCGCTAGCTAACCTCACCTGGTCTGCCAGAAGAGTCGTGAAGAAAAGATACCCACCCACGCCATAGAGTGACTGCTTAGAAGTTCCTGTACGAAAAGGAATCATTTGAAAGTACCTGCGATGGTTTATTAGTTTTACAGGATTCTCTTTTTCCTAGTTTCTCTTTAGAGAGGAAAATAACATAAATTCAAAAGCAATTCCAGTCTGAAGCACAATTATTTGCTTGTATAACAAAATCTCTCATCTTTTTCTGCATATTACTATTCTTAGATGAGTTAAAAAGAAATGTACTTTTTAATGTCTTAGAACTCTCTAATATTAAAAAGTACAAGAATTAAAATTTTTCTTTCATATTCCTGTAATTTTCCAAAAGTATTAAAATAAATATTTATATGTTTGAGTGATTTTTTTTCAAAAATGTTAAATCTGAAATCAAGTGCACTGATCATTTGGCTTTACAGAATAGGGATAAATCAATTGTTTCATCAATTATTTATATAGAGAGACTAAGAAAGAAGCTACCGACTGCTACCAATTTTATAGTCTTTAAAGTTTATGAAAGTATTTTAAATTTTAAATACTATCCATAAAGTGGTAAAGAAAGTTTGAAATACTAACTGAAATGATCTTTTCTGAATCTATTTCTCATTATGTGATTATAAAAACCCAATGTTTGATTTTCTTTGAAGTTCTGTTAACTCTTTCCAAGTTGTTAAATACACTCTTAATTTGGATTCATTGAAAAGATCGCTCAATGTCATAAGTTTTTATTTTACCATAAATTATTCCAGGTATGAAATTTATAAATTCTTTTCTTGATTAGAAATTTTGCTTTGTAAACATTATAGAGTAGGAGAAGCCATAAGCCATTAACCCTTATTTTGTTAAAATAAAAGGTTGGGATTGGTATACTATAAAGAATTTGAGATAGAAATTCTGAAGTCATGGAGTTCGTCTCACTTTCACAGTTTCTTAATGGTGTCTTTTGGGATGAAACATATTTCTAGAAAGCACTGTAATTAACTTTAAACACAAAGGATGTTTTATGAAATGTGTTACCTCATTTAGATTGGATATTTTGGGGGATTCTTTTTTAAAAAAATTCTTTGGGGTCTCCTGGGTGTCTCAGTCAGTTAAGTGTCCAACTTCAGCTCAGGTCACCATCTTGCAGTCCCTGAATTCGAGCCCTTCGTCGGGCTCTGTGTAGACAGCTCAGAGCCTAAATCTTGTGTTCGATTCTGTGTCTCCCTCTCTCTCTGCCCCTCTGCTGCTCGCACTCTGTTTCTCTTTCTCTTAAAAAACAAAAAAAAAGTATTAAAAAATTTTTAATAAGTAAAAAAAAAATTAAGAAAAAGTTTATTAATTGGGAATGCCTGGGTGGCTTAGTCAGTTAAGCGTCCGACTTTCGCTTAGGTCATGATCTCGCGTTCCTGGGTTCGGCCCCGCGTCGGGCTCTGTGCTGACAGCCAGCTCAGAGCCTGGAGCCTGTTTCAGTCTGTGACTCCCTCTCTCTCTGACCCTCCTCTGCTCACGCTGTCTCTCTCTCTCTCCTAGAAATAAATAAAACATTAAAAAAAAAAGTTTATTAATTAAACTCTACTCCCAATGTGGGACTGGAACTCACAACCAAAAGATCAAGAGTTGCATGCTCCACCAACTTAGCCAGCCAAGTGCCCCTAATTTTGGGGAAATTTTAAATAATTTTCTGAATAAATTGTAATTCCTTTACACAAGTGCATTCTAATAGAAACATAAGCTATTGTCAGTTATATTTATTTTTTAAACAAATACTTGTATATATATTTTGTACAAAAAAAGAAAAGCAATATTTTATACAGTTCAAATACATCTCATTGAATTCAAGCCAATACTTTTTCAAGTACAGACTGACATCCACAAAGTTAAACCAGTCATACCATTGTAAGGTATTAAATGATTGTAGATTTCTATTGCTACAACTGCAATAAGTTTTCAATAAAACATTTGAGTGTCTAGTTGTCCTTACTGTGTATAAGAAACGTTCAAAGTGTTGAGCACAGCATGGTAGAAATCGTTCTGAACTTGCCTTTATTTCCATTGTTTGTTCCTTTTAATTGAGGCATTTGAGACTATACAACCGTGATATATACCCTGCCACTACAGACTTTTTACTTAATTCAATTTATCAAAGTGGACAAAGACTCTCAAAATCTACAGAAATCCAACAATAAAATCTATAAAAACTCATGAATGCTGAAAGTGGCATACCAGAACAAAACAATGGAGCCAAATTTAGTCACTAATGAGATGGAGGAGGAGACCAGAAGAATGTCAAAGATGTATATTGGGGTTTTTTTTGTTTGTTAGTTTTTAGAGAAAGTGAGAGCCAGTGAGCACGTGTTGCGGGAAGGGGGAGGGGCAGAGAGAGCTCCAATGTTAAGCTGTCTCCATGCTAGGCACAGAGCCTGAAGGGGTAGTTGGGAGGGGAATCTCGATTTCACAAACGTGATATCATGGCCTGGGCCTAAGTCAACATGTGGTCGCCTAAACAACTGAGCCACCCAGGCACCCCCAAAAATGTATGCCCTAAAGTTTCCCTGTGATTTTGTGTTTGTTTTATTATTTTTCTATTAAAAGTTCTTTGTAATTTCTGGGTGGCTTAGTCGGTTAAGCGTTGGACTTTCGCTTGGGTCATGATCTCGCGGTTCGTGGGTTCGAGCCCCGCGCCGGGCTCTGTGCTGACTGCCAGCTCACAGCTTGGAGCCAATTTCGGAGTCTGTGTCTCCCTCTCTCTCTGACCCTCCCCTGCTCACGCTGTCTTCTCTCTTTCTCCTAGAAATAAATAAAAAATATTTTTTAAAAAAAGTTCTTTGTAATTTCTAACCTTTTCAGAACCTTAAAGGAAAGTGGATTTTACATAGCTTAATGGAGATGGTTAAGGAATGGGGTGTCTGGGTGGCCAAGTAGTTAAGTGGCCAACTTCAGCTCAGGTCATTATCTCACAGTTTGTGAGTTCGAGCTCCCACAAGGGCTCCCTGCCATCAGGGCAGAAGCTGCCTGGGATCCTCTGTCTCCCTCTTCCTCTGCCCCTCCCCTGCTCTCTCTGTCACCCTCTCAAAAATAAATAAACATTAAAGAAAAAGATGGTTGGGGTTCAGAAGTAATGGTGCACCCCAATTTGGGACCATGAGGTGAGACACTGAAGTGTAACAGATGGAGGGTGGTGGACCATATATGAATTGGAAATGCTGATCCCTCTCTCTTGGCTCAGTTCCTTCCAAACTCTTAAGTCAGTGCAGTCTTTGGTCACATTCCTGCACTATTTTTACTCCTCCATAGGACCAGGACTAGAATATGTGGACACAAAATTTTAGAGTGTGCTCAAAACCTCACTGATTGGGGCGCCTGGGTGGCTCAGTTGGTTGGGCATCTGACTTCCGCTCAGGTCATGATATGGTTCATGGGTTCGGGCCCGCTTCCCTCTCTGTGCTGACAGCTCGCTCAGAGCCTGGAGCCTGTCTTTGGATTCTGTATCTCTCTCTCTGACCCTCCCCTGCTCACGCTGTCTCTCTCTGACTCTCAAAAATAAGTAAAAGCATTTAAAAAACCCTCACTGATCAAGATAACATTTTAACACCAGTTTTGCGAAAAAAATTTTAACATAAAAAAGGCATAATGAACAAAATATAAAACTTTTAGATACAGAATCGACTGAGCCTTGTTACAGCATGAGGCAAAGGGAAAAAGCTAGTAATTCTAATCTGGTAACAAGAACCTTGTTTTAGTACATTGGAGCCTGAGTTCCAGGCTTGGTTTCTTCCCTTCATTCTCACTTCCCAAAATGACTTCACTCCCTAAACTCTAGATCTGTATCCCATTTTCCGTTCTTGGCCTCCACTACACCAGAATGTTCATGGAAAGAACATTGGATTCTAGCCCTGGCTTCTTTTTACATTTACGCTCTCATTCTTCCATAAAATTATAATTGGATTCCAAGGAGTCATGGTAAGTGGTAGTGAGGTTGATGATTTGAGGCTCTGGTCCCTATCAATTGCTCTGCAGAAGAGTTCTCAACTTCATCTGGGAGTTTGTTGTTTGACTATACAGTACTAATCCCAAGAACTACCTATGCCGCCATCTGACTACATATTTAGGAGTATTATAAACTCAGTTCCTAGAAGTATTCAAAATACTTAGTATCAACTGTTTTGTATCACTTGCTATGTAGTGACTATAGAAAATTCTCTAAAGCTTTTAGCTTGGTGATGGATAAAAGTAAAGAATATTTTGGTATGTATCCATTTCTCAATTTTTCTATTCTTTTTTTAAAGATTTGTATTTCTTAAGTAATCACTATACCCAGGGTGAGGGGGCTCAAACCCACAACCCCAAGATGAAGAAATGCAGGCTCCACCAACTGAGCCAGCCAGGTGCCCCACACTTTTTCTATTTTTAATGTAACATTTCCTGGGAGAATGTGTTAATATGTCAGTTTCCCCACTGTTTTTTCTTCCAGTGAGGTGTTAAGAAAATGTTTGTGTTTCATAACTCAAACTTTAGTTATGCTTAACTAAATACGACTTGTATAAACTGAGCCATAGTATCATGAAAAGTTCAAATGCAACAAGTAAGCCAAAACAAAAATATTTCTAATTCTTTAACTTTTGGTAAGAGAGTGAGCACAAGCAGAGAAGAGGGGCAGGTGGAGAGAGAGAAAATCTTAGGCACGCTTTTCATGGAGCCTGACACGGGGCTCAGTCTCACAACGCTGGGATCATGACCTGAGCTGAAATTGATTCAGATGCTCAACCGACTGAGCCACCCAGGCACCCTCCCCTTTTCTTGTTAAGATTTTTTAATAATACTAACTCTGAAAAATGAAAAAGTTCTAAACTTGCAATTTGACAAAACACCAACATGTTTTCTGTTAAGATACTCTTTCCTGTAATGAGGTTGTGGTTGATGGTTATTGTCCACATTGTGATTTTTGGAGTTCTGTTTTTTGGGTGTCTGAGCCTCTTTAAAAATTATTATTGGGGCACCTGGATGGCTCAGTAGGTGAAGATTCCAGCTTAGTTTTGGCTCCGGTCATGATCTCATGGTTCACGGGTTTGAACCCCACACTGGGCTCTGTGCTGACAGTGCAAAGCCTGCTTGGGATTCTCTCTCTTTGCCCTCTCCCCCTTCCCATTCTTTCTCTCAAAAATAAATAAACATT